TCCAGTCGTCACACTGTTTTCAAACACTTATCTCACCACTTTTATACTTTCTCCTGTGCAGATTTTATCTTGTCTCTGATTTTCTAGCACTTTTATGCGCTTTCGCATATGTGTAAATTGCAAAAACGCATATTCGGAAGAGGCTGTGTGTGTACGTGTGTGTCCGTGTGTTCGCACTTTTTGTCACCCACTTTCAACTCGAGACCCAAAAAAGCTAGAAAGCTGACACTTTGGGGATATGCGCCCATACCATGCGCAACCCTCCCGTTTTACTTTCATCCCCCTCGAACGCCTGAATGTGGCGTACGGAGGCCTTAAAAAAATATGCAAATTTTTCGGCGGGAAAGCGATCTCGGAAACTATGTGAGCTAGGGGGCTGAAACTTCGTAGGGATATTCCCTGTGCATATACTAGCTAAAGGTTTCAAATTCAGCCTCCAGGTATGCGTGGTACTCATGTATGAGCGTATGAAAGTTTTAGGGGGGAAATTGCTAAATCGGGTGCCAGAAAAGCTAGAAAGCTGAAATTCTGGGGGAATGTTCCCTATCTAACTGCAACTCAAATATTTCAAAATCAGCTCCAAGCAACGCATGGTACTCACGTAAGGGCATATGAACGTTTCTGCAGGAAAATTACTAACTCGGCAACCAGAAGAGCTAGAAGGCTGAAATTTCAGGCAGATGTTCCCTGTCCACGTGCAATTAAAAATGTCAAATTCAGCTTCCCAAGCACACGGAGTACCCAAATACGGGTATGTGAAGGTTTTGGCGGGGAAATTGCTAACTCGGTAACCAGAAAAGCTGAAAAGCTGAAATTTTGAAGAAATGCTCCTTATCCAAGTACAACACAAATGTTTCAAATTCAGCCCCAGGCTATGCGTGGTACTCACGTAAGGGCGTAAGGAAGTTTGTGCGGGAAGATTTTAATTCAAGAACCAGAAAAGCTAGAAAGTTGAAGTTTTAGGGGAAGTTTTCCTGTCCAAATACAACTTAATTATTTCAAATTCATTCCTGAGGTATGCGTGGTTCTTACGCACGGGCACTTAGAGTCTTGACGAAAAAATTTCTCACTGATCAACTAGGTTACTTTTAAAAAACGACTGTTAAATCAAAATTATACATTATTTTGCAGAATTTATAGTAATTTATGCTAGTCACCGCAAAAGGTAGGTGTAAAGCAACAGCCATTCATACAGTTAATGACCTGAGTAATTCAAATCCGGTGCAAAGAGGCATGATCGCACGGGCCCGCCCTGTGCGTTCTAGCCTGGGTTATTCATTAAAGAAAGGAAACTAATGCTGTTCGGTCAACTTCCATACATAAATGCTTCCCGGGCAACCTTCAAACAAGATAAGTAGGTTTTTGTGATAGCAGCAGATGTAAGAATTTTGTTTAGCAAAATTCCACCAATAGATCCTTAGCTGTTACACACAGTTGTGCAAAACACTGCTAGTGTTGGGAGCATGCATTTTATTGATGCAAATACAGATTTGCTTACATATTTTAACGAACAAACTGATATGATGCGATAATAATTTACAATACCATCAGCAACAGTGAGTAACACAGTATGTGGAC